ACTGAGTCCAAACTTTATGTCGGCTGTTGTTGCTATTTGTGCCATTTAAAAGGTCTTGGCTCTTTCTTTCTAGAGCTGGCCCAGGGTATTTTAGAAAAGATAAGAGGGTTCAAATACAGATACACAGCACTGCGTGCAGCAAGGAGGAAAAGCATCTCCCGTGGGTTTGTCCGGGCAGAGAAGCACCTCTGGGAACACCCATGAGAAGTGCGTTTCAAGGAAGCATAGCACACAGGTCCATCTGGGCTTCCATGAGAGGACAGAAAGGGAATCAAGAGAAGTACAACCTCAGAGAGAATTAAGAACCTGGTACAGTCACCTCCCAGTGTCTCCAGCTAGACATGGGCATTTCTCTGTGTTCCTAGAAAAAGATCCACAGCTGAAGAGGTGAGGTGACCAGGCCATGGTCATACAACTTGTCAAAGATAGAATTGGGCCCAGACAGCAGGTTCTAGGCAGATCTTGCCTCCCCTTTAGCACCCTGGCAAATTGTCGGGGAATGCAGAGGTGGAGATAGGTTCATTTGACATGTGCTCCACTCTCATCATGGTGGACAAATCCCCAAACCAAATAAAGTTCATATTGGCCTAGTTACTAATGTTTAGAAGCTGTAAATGAATTTTAGCCCTAATAATGGAATCCATAATAAACTGATTTAACACTACCTTTAGTTAGGTTCTCTGTCCAACACATTGTTTAAATAACTAAAAAATATAAAATGAATTGTTTGAATGGCTTTGGTTGTTAGGCTGGGTTACCTGTGATTCCAAAGAGGTAGCATAGAAAATATGCACCATCTTCTTTGTTGTCAATTGGGAGAAGTTATGTAAGAGCAGCTGGTATAGCATGCAAGGGGGGATTTACCTTTAGAAAGTCTGATGTGTGGTGTAGTTTCAGGAACTGAACTTCTAGAGCTTCTCTATTGCAGTAGATGATGGTTTGGTGCTAGTTGAGCCTATGGGACTCAAGGTGGTATAACTTTTATAAAAAACACAAATCAGTTTGACGTCTTCCAATTAAACACTCAAGACAATGAAATGAGGACCCTAGTCATCACTATTTGCAAGATGTGTAGATTCTCTTCGCAGGAGGACTTTTTAAGAGGATCTGCAGCTTTAGCCCTGGCCACTTTTGATGACATAAGGAAGGTTATGTTAACAATCCATATGATCAAGAGCAAATGCCTTCTAATAAGGATTTAGTGTGATAATGGGAGGAATCCCTGGGCGGCACAAATGGTGAAGTGCTTACTTACTAATAGAAAAGGTTTTTGGTTGAGGGCAACCTGAGA